TGATGTGGCTAATGAGAAGCCCACCCAGGCTTCCAGACTGCAGAACAGGGTTTACATGGAAGAATGGGAGAATACAGCATGGTGGACCAATTCTACAGCCAGCCTGAGACCTTGAGCAACAAACCTAAAACTCACCCTCTCATTTTTCTATCTAGGAGATGGGGCTAATCACACCTGTGTTAGACACAAAATTTTGATAAACTATCAAAACAACTTTTACCTCCAGTGGAAGTTAGAGAATACATTGAATGAGAATAAATAAATAACATGTACAAACTGGTATTTAGAGTAACTTGTGCTTCTGCACAGAAAATGAAACAAAGTGAGGAGACAACCACAGACTCAGAGTAAATATCTGCAAACTATATGTCTGATAAATGGTTAATATCCAAAACATAGAAAAGACTCAAAGTACCTGATAACAAAAAAACAAATAATCCTATTCAAAAAATGAGCAAAGAACCTGAATAGGCATTTCTCAAAAGAAGACATGAAATGGCCAATAAAAGAAAAAAAATCCTCAGCTTCACTAATCCTGAAAAATGCAATTTAAAAAACAAAATGAGAACACTTCACACCTGTTAGGATGGCTATAATCAGAAAGATGAAAGGTAACTGTACCTGAGTGTGTGAAGAAAACGGAACACTCACAAACAGTAGGTTGGAGTGTAAGTTAGAACACCATTTTGGAAAGTAGCATAAATGTTTCTCAAAGTGCTAAAAATAAATCTAGATAATCATAGATCTAAAAACTCCACTTCTGAGTATATATTCAAATGAATTGAAATCAGTTTGTCAGATATGTCATCATTCCAATGTTCACTGCACCTTCACAACAGGCAACATATCAAAACTACAGAAATGCTCAATATCAAAACTAAAGAAATGAGCAGATAAAATAAATATGCACATAAAAAATAGAATTCTACTCAGCCTTAGGAAAAAACAAATTGTCAATTGTAACAAGATGGCTCAATCTAGAGGACATCATGTTTAGTAAAAGAAGACAGGCACAAAAAAAACAAATACCACATAATTTTAGTTATATGTAGTCTATAAAATAGACTAAGAGAAATAGAAAATAGAATGGAGGTTATGAAGACAGGCACAAAAAAAACAAATACCACATAATTTTAGTTATATGTAGTCTATAAAATAGTCAGACTAAGAGAAATAGAAAATAGAATGGAGGTTATCAGAAGATGATGGTTAGAATGGGAATCAAAGGTAAATGTGCACATGTTGTTCAAATGGTACAACATTTCAATTTGGCAGGGGGAATAAGTTCTGGTGATGTACTGCACAGCATGTTGAATGTAGCTAAGAGTAATGCATTGTATATTTCGAAGTTGCTGACAGTGGATTTTAAATGTTCTCACCATGAAATAATAGGTATGTGAGTAAATGAATGTTAATCAGTCTAATTTTATTTCACAATGTGTACATGTCTTGAAACGTCACATTGTACCTCATGGACATATAAAGTTATAATCTGCCAATTAAAACAAAATAAAATTTTTAAAAGGCAGGAATTGTCTCAATGAATTTTTAAATATACAAACAAGAAAAAACTATTGTGCATAGGAAAAACACTTTAAATTCAAAAATAAAAATAGGTTGAAAGTTAACGGATGGCAAAAGCTATGCAATGTAAACAGAACCCCAAAACAGCTACACTGGCTGGCCATACTAATTTCAGACAAAATAAATATTAAAACAAAAATGTTACAGGGAATAAAGAGGGACTTTTTATTTTGCCTTGTAAGGGGATCGCAACCCTCAGCACAGTGTGGTCCACACCATGCTCAGCCAGTGAGTGCATAGGCCATCCAAAAGGGACATTTGATAATGACAAAAGTGTCAGTCATGAGAACATCATGACAATTAGAAATACACATGCATCAAACACAGAAGCTCAACATTAAATTAAGAAAGTAGTTAAGAGAGAAGTAGACTATTCTATATAAATATTTGGAGATGTCCAGTGCAACTTTCACTGATGGCTAGAACAGATAGGCAAAGCACTGAAAATGGTATAGGAGTCTTGGACAACATTACAAACGACTTTACAGATATGTATACATACAACACGCAACACAACAACAGAACACACATCCTATTCAAGTGCACATGGAAGGACCCCAGAAAACACCATTTGCTAGGCCATAAAATAGCCTCAATAAACATGAGTACTGAAATCACACAAAGTATGTTCTCTGACCACAACAGATTTAAATTGAAAATGATTAACTGAAGGATATTTCACTAATTCACAAGTATGTGGGAATTAAACAAAACTTCAAACAGCCAGTAAGACATAGAGTCACAAAAAAAAAAAAAAAAAAAAAAAAAAATTAGCATTTTGAGACTGAAAACAAATACATGACAAACCAAAACTTATAAAGGGGTTACAATAAAATTTATAGCTGTAAATATCTATAATTTGAAAAGATCTGAAATCAAAAAGCTAACCTTCCAATTAAAAAGCAAGAAAAAGACAGAAAAATTAAATCCCTAAGGAACCGAAAAAAGAAAAATAATAGAGTGGAAAATGATAAAGAAATAATGGTGCTGTAGTTTCTGCCCACTTGTACTAGAGATTTGGGGACAGAAGGGTAGCAAGTGGAAGTGACCTCTCTGCCAAACAGGGCCCTGCAACACCTGCATTCAGCCACACCTCAGGTTCTATGCTGGACCCCATTTCGTCTTACTCACCTTTACCCCTCCTTGGGGCCTGGGTTTCCTCCCCTCAGTAGGGCTCTGAGGACAGAGAAGGGGCCACTGCAGACTCCAGGAGTTTCCTTCAGTGTAAACAGGCTCTGGGGCCATTGCTAGGTCTGCAGTCCTACGTGCAAGTAGAACCATACACGAGGCAAATACACAAGTATAACTGGGATTTACTCTGTTGCCCCTCTTAGAGGCTCTGGGGCCATTGCTAGGTCTGCAGTCCTACGTGCAAGTAGAACCATACACGAGGCAATACACAAGTATAACTGGGATTTACTCTGTTGCCCCTCTTAGTGTCAAGATACAAACATAGCACTCCATCACTGCATATATAAACAGAAGATATTCCTGAAGTACAGAACACATGCAATGCACAATCATATTATGTGGTCCCATTTAAAAATATGAGGAATAGGAATAAAGGATACATCTTTCCAGACACTACTCACTAAATAGAATACTACTGTTTATAGCAGTTTAAATAATTGCAGACTTAGCTCTTATCAATAATGTGCCTGATCTGTGCATTCTCATGGAAGTATTTCTATTCAACATACTGACTGGCTCTGTGTTAGCTTCAAACATTAGAAAAAATTATATTTACTTAAGAGAGTTTTGCAATAATGACCAAATTTACCTCCAATAGGAGAGTAGGAATAAAGTAAGAAGCACAGTACTTCAGACAATAAATTAAACAAAATATAAAGAAGTGGCATTTAATGTCCAAAATTCTGAGATGTCTTCCAGTCAAGATGGCAGAATAGATGGTCTCCAGTGTCACTGTCTGACAAATTAACCAATTTACAACCATTAAAAATGTCAGCCAAGCTGAGGCTGCTGGAGCTCAGGGGAGGAGGAGGAGAGACCCATGGAGTGCATGAAGGCAGAAGCCAGAATGAGAGAAAGGATTTCTCACATTTTGAGCCCCAGCTACTTTAAGGCTGGAACTGAACACACAGAGCAACATGTCAAATGCCACAACTGTGCCTTTTGTATGAAGTTGCTTGAAAGTGGCAGGGGAGAAGAGGGTCTAAGTGGCCCTGAGGCCAGCAAGACCACCAACAGGGTTTCTGTGGACCCATATAGGAGGAACCACAGAAAATAGAAAAGTTATCACAGGCTGGTGAGCCCAGCCATGGGACCCAGGACAGTGCCTGGCCTGTTCAATGGGAAGTGTTTGAAGTGTGGGAGGTTGGGGAGATGGCCCACCAGGGGAACATTGGTGCAAAGCATAGACAATTGATCTGCTCTCCAGTCAGCACAGGATCACCCTGTGTAGACTGGTTAGGAATATGGATTTGCTGGGTTTGCAGTTCACTGAAAAGACTCTGGCCCAGACCAGAGTTTCCACACAATGCAGGTGTACCAGACCTTCAAGAACAGGAAGTATAAAGAATAAGAATGATTTATAACACTGAATTGGCTAATAAAATTCTGAAGTAAGTCACACTATTTATTATCCTATGTGTAAATATTTCCTATCCATAGTTGTGCTGGCTTCTGTCAAGATAAATTTTTAACAAATAATACATACATAAACACAGCATACCTGGGCCTGTTTTGTGCATTGTATGCTGTGTACCAGCGGCTTCTTTCCAGTAAACCTTTTAACTTCCAGTTATGACAAGAAAAATGTCTTCAGACATAGCCAAATGTCCCCTGGCAGTTAATATCACCACTCATATTTAACTGTTGTTATAGTCAAAACTTTTAAAATAGTTTTGATCCTACATTTATCAATTCTGTTGGAAAGTTTGCATTCACATTACCTAAACTGATAGTTTTCATTTCAAATTACCTGATATATGAAAATGAAAGTCATGTTGAAAGCTTTGACATGTTAAAGATATTGATAAAGATAAACTTATTGTTACTGTTCAATGAGAAGTCCCTGCCTGGTAAGGTGTTCCATATTTATTGCAGTTTCTCCCCATAAGCAGACTGGTGTGTAAAAGGTGACAATACAGTTTCTCTCTTGTGTTAATATTCTCATATTCAAGAACTGGTAACTTCTCTCAGAAAGTTCATAAAATCAGCACAGTGGGCTACTTGTGCTGTAGCACATAGAGATCACACATGAAATGGCAAACCATAGTAAGCATTTCTTACATAAATTATGAATAGAGGATGTGGGGATAGAGTTGGAAACAGCTATGGTTTCTTCAATTCAGTCTGTCTTAAATTACGGTGGATTTAGCCCACTATGGACCCCAACTCCACCCCAGGAGTCACCTGCCCTTCAGTCCCAGAGAACATGAAAAATCAGAGACAAATGCATGAATGTTTTTTTTTACTGCGTGGCTTGAAAGTGGCCTGGAAGTAATGTTTATCACCTGTATCCATAATCCCATGAACAAAGCTAAATTACACGGTTCCACACACAATAATTAATGGCTGAGATTGCAGGCATGTGTACAAGAGAAAAAAGGTGTTTTTTAGAAAATACATACCAAGTCTAATCCATACAGAATTATCTCAACTGCTGCACTGTGAGTTCTTTTTATTTTTCTTTCTCTTTTTTCCCCCCAGTGGCTGGCTAGTACAGGGACCCATGGTGTTATCAGCACGATGTTCTAACCAACAATAGGCTAACTATAGCCAGCCCTGTAACTGCTGAAAAAAGATGTTTTCACAATTATTGACCTCCTATATCTGAGGGTTGCACATCTGTTGATTCAACCAAACACATAAAAATTGTTAAAAATCAAAAGAAAAAATAAAACTATAATACAGGTTAAAAAAACAACACAGTACAGCAACTATTTACAAGGAATTCCTTCGTATTCAGTAATATAAACATAAATATTCTACTCAAGATGTAAAGGACACAGAAAAAAGTTCATAGGTAATATTGAAACAATACACCATTTACAGAAAGTGCTTGATCATTTGCAAGTGCTTTCATCAACAGGGGTTCCAGGAACCAACCTCCAATATCAAGGGACAGTTGTGCATTTATAGGGCTTCTTCTTGGTGTAAGTTCTCTGATGAAACCTCAGATGTGATTTATGGCAAAACCTTTTCCCACAGCCATTACATTAATTGGGATTTTCCCATGTTGTGAATTTGTTCATGTCTATTATGGTGAGTTCCAGTAAACTGTTTTTCCACATTCCTTACATTCTCATGATTTCTCACCTATGTGAATTCTCTGATGACTGCTGAGGTGTGACATTTGATTAAAAGCTTTTCCACATTCTTTGCATTCATGTGATTTCTCACCTGTGAGTTCTCTGATGCCTGCTGAGGTATGACTTTTCACTAAAAGCTTTTCCACGTTCTTTACGTTCATATGGTTTCTCACCTGTGTGAGTTATCTCATGCCTGCTGAATTCCACCTGTCCACTTATATCTTTTCCATATTCTTTACATTCATACCGTTTCTCACCTGTGTGAGTTCCCTCATGCCTGCTGAGAAGTGACTTTTCACTAAAAGCTTTCCCACATTCTTTGCATTCATATGGTTTCTCACCTGTGTGACTTCTCTGATGACTGCGTAATGTTGACTTGTCACTAAAAGCTTTCCCACATTCTTTACATTCATATGGTTTCTCACCTGTGTGACTTGTCTGATGACTGCGTAATGTTGACTTGTCACTAAAAGCTTTCCCACATTCTTTACATTCATATGGTTTCTCACCTGTGTGAGTTCTCTCATGCCTCCAGAGGTTTGCCTTTTGATTAAAAGCTTTTCCACATTCTTTACATTCATATGGCTTCTCTCCTGTGTGAGTTCTCTCATGTCTGCTGAGTTCAACCTTTCCACCTAAACCTTTCCCACATTCTTTACACTCATATGGTTTCTCACCTGTGTGAGTTCTCTCATGCCTTATGAGGTGTGACTTTTCACTAAAAGCTTTTCCACATTCTCTACAATTATATGGTTTTTCACCTGTATGAGTTCTCTGATGACTGCTGAGGTTTGACTTTTGGCTAAAAGCTTTTCCACATTCTTTGCATTCATATGGTTTCTCACCTGTGTGAGTTCTCTGATGATCCCTCAGGTGTGACTTTTCACTAAAAGCTTTTCCACATTCTTTGCATTCATATGGTTTCTCACCTGTGTGAGTTCTCTGATGATCCCTCAGGTGTGACTTTTCACTAAAAGCTTTTCCACATTCTCTACACTCATATGGTTTCTCACCTGTGTGAGTTCTCTCATGCCTTATGAGGTGTGACTTTTCACTAAAAGCTTTTCCACATTCTCTACACTCATATGGTTTCTCACCTGTGTGAGTTCTCTCATGCCTTATGAGGTGTGACTTTTCACTAAAAGCTTTTCCACATTCTCTACAATTATATGGTTTTTCACCTGTATGAGTTCTCTGATGACTGCTGAGGTTTGACTTTTGGCTAAAAGCTTTTCCACATTCTTTGCATTCATATGGTTTCTCACCTGTGTGAGTTCTCTGATGACTGCTGAGGTTTGAGTTTTGGCTAAAAGCTTTTCCACATTCTTTGCATTCATATGGTTTCTCACCTGTGTGAGTTCTCTGATGATTCCTCAGGTGTGACTTTTCACTAAAAGTTTTTCTACATTCTCTACATTCATATGGTTTCTCTTGTGTGTGAATTCTCTCATGCCTGCTGAAATCTGACTTTTGGTTAAAAGCTTTCCCACTTTCTTTACATTCATGTGGTTTCTCACCTATGTGAGTTCCCTGATATAAAATATGGATCTCTCCTGTGTGTATAACCTGATGTTTAGTGAGTTTAGATTTTTTATAGAACATTTCCCCACATATACCAGATTGAAAAGTTTTCTTTTCTACCTTATTTATTTCTTGGTCAATGACAGCTGACTTACCACAGCCTTTCCAATATTCATTATACTTACAGGTGGTTTCATCCATATGAATCTCTTTATTTATAAATACCATTGGCTCTGTGTAGGGCAATTTCCCTATTCCACTGTATTCTAAAGTCTGCTTCCCAGTTTGAATATTGGGATGCTGACTAAGATGCTCATGATGTCTCAGCAATTTTCCATTTGTATGATGGTCATCAGATTTCTCTCCAGCAGGCATCTCATCAGGCTCTCTAGGAAGAAGTGCATTCTGACATATGTAAAACTCCTCATGTCCCTTTCCTGAATGGTTTCCATTATTTATAATCCAACTTAAAACATGATATGAATTCAAATAAAATGATTTTCCTAACACAACTCTCTCCTCAGCTGCTGTGTTGCTGTTGGTGATTACAATTTGCTGCAAGCATCTACCATGACATTCTTGGTTCCTCTTCACTAGGTCATCATCTATCTGGACATCTGAAATGACAAAAAAAAAAAAAAAAAAAAAAACCAACCAAGAACCACACAGAAGCACATCTCATTGACTGCTTATGTAAACATAGAGAAGTGCCTTTCAATCCTAGTAACAAAAGATTTTATTAAAAAAACAGTAATGAATATTGGTTTCAAGAGTTCATGGAATTTTTTCTTACTGACAATGTAATATTGCACTAATATATTTTCTAACATTATATCATGTTTTTCTTTCCTTTGTTCAATTGTAAATTTTAATTTGAGTAATTATTTGTTCACAATTTTTATTTTCTGCCTACTTGTATTATTCAACTAAGCACCTTTCATTTCTTTATACCATTTTCTGTTTCATCTTTACAACAATGGGTATCGCCTTCAGCTGTTTTCTCATCATTTCACTATGAAGATGGCAAAGTTTTCCTTCATCAGCTACTTTCAGGTACAGAAGTGAACCAATTTTTTATCACATATGCAAGAACATGGCTGAGGATAAGAATTTTGCACTTATGTTTATATGCTTTACATTCCTCTCTTAGAAAATGGCTGTAGGGCCGGCCCGGTGGCGCACTGCGCTAGTGCGCTGCTTGGGAAGCGCGGAGGCGCTCCCGCCGAGGGTTCGGATCCCACATACAGACCGGTTCCCGCTCACTGGCTGAGGTACGGGAGCAACGCCGAGGGTTGCGATCCCGTTGCCGGTCCCGGTCCGGTACGGGCGCGACACTGAGGGTTGCGATCCTGTTGCCGGTCCCGGTCCGGTATGGGGG